GTGGAAGGAAAAACAGCTTCGGAGAGGAAATTTTGGAACCAGAGGACGTTGGCACTACTAATAAACTCTGTAATGGCTTCAAATTATAACGAGAGAGCAGACTGCCCTCAGCCGTAGGAGAGTAGAGAGGATGAGGTAGAGCTGACTAAGCTGGGTGGGAAGAAAACGTACCCAGGAAGGAAAGGTGTTATGATGGCAGGGTTGATTCCAGTGTTTGAAATCTATTCGAGGGGTCTGTACCCTCTGAATAGATTAAGGTTTATAACTGGGTGCCAACCAGGGCCTCCATCAAAGTTGAACCCTTACAAGACTCGGCATCCCGGCAAAAGACCCTAGATCTCGTCGATTTATTTAAATCTAGCAAATTTATGTTACGGGAAGTCACCCAATGGACTAATAAACAATCAACAGATTGAATTACATACACATAATATAAGCGCCCATCGTAACGTGGATTGTGAAGTGATTCAGGCGGTGGTTTGGGGGTTGCCGTATTCGCTGGTGCCGATCGCTTCTGAATCTCTGGCACCTGTACCACCAGAGCCATTACGTCAAGCCCAGAAGAGCCTGATTCGGGTTTCCCTTGAATTGGGAGACGAGTCGAGTCATCCGCGGGCGCCCTTTACGACAAAGAGAGATACAAGGAACAGCTTGGGGTGCTTTTATAGCCTTCGACCTTCCAAAGATGCCTTCTGAGTGAGGCAACGTTGGGCGGGGATGTGATTGACTTGGTCAAGATACGGCCGATGGTATTGTCGTTGGAGTAGATGGCATTGCAGGACTCGAGCGCGTTGTCGTGGGCGTATAACCGGTAGTATACTTTGAATCTGAGCTGAGATCAAGGATACAAGTTCACAAGGACTATCGCACCGTAGTGATGAGCCGCTTCTGATATCTATTTCGGCGCATGCGATCAGGGATATCTACAGGAAGGATGTACAGAGTAGACTGACTTACAAGTTCGTTTCCTCCTCGGCCGTCTAACTGAGATGGCTCTGTTCCGCAAAGGCTCATGGTATTGAGACTTCAAAGATAGATATCGTAATCGGTGTGAGTCTGCAAGGCGAAAAGATAAGTATCAGGTTTCGCGTGTTCACCCAATACAGTACCTGCCAAGCGCTGTATAGCTTTGTCAGTGTGTCTCTAAGCTGTATCAACGTATTCAAGTCGAAATCAAAACGCAACGCATGCATAATTGTAACCGGAACCATTCAAACCGTGTAGACTGCAAAAAGAGCCTTGAAAGAGCTCAAAGTTGAATGAGCGGGACAGGAACCGAACTCGGAAAACACGCGATGCATTGGAATCAGCACAAACAAATAAACAAACGCACGGACCATTGGATTCTCGACACAACCGTGATGAGGCCTTATTTCGATGCCGGCGCGTCCTTGACCTGTCATTCTTTCTCACCAAACTAAATTCTACCTATGGTTTGCTCGTTTTTGCCTTGATTTAAGTATCTTAGACAAGGATTTTCACGTTTAGGTGATACAAGGGTGATGACCGTAAAAACCTGGCATCGGTCTATAGTTCCTTTCTTTCCTTGCACTCGGAGAATTGGCCGCATAAGCACACAAGAGTCACAAAGGCTAGGTCTATATGCTGCTCGCTGGGAGGGCGAAACGCATGGCAGGGAGCCCTCACAGGTGCGAAAATCTGTCGAAGTACCAAAGTATGACATTTTTGCAGTCCCATTTCTCCCATATAAGATGTCCATCTCACATCCACGTCTCACAGGTTCCCCAACCAACATCCCTAGATCAAACATGCGCTGCGTTGTGCCGTGCGGGTAGTTCTTTGCTGTGGTGGATGACTAATGCGATGGGGAAGGTAGGAAGCAACCGAACACAGTAGCCACGTCGATTCAATAGCATCAATTGAAACCGTGAACGCTGTTATTCGGGGCACAACGATAACGGGTTATACACTTGTGGCACCTTGGATCCGGGGGAGTGGTGAGTTCTGCCAATCGTGACGACTTCGAGGCTTACACCGTTGTTCATGAAGCTCGATATATGCGGGTGGATACATAGGATATTTCCTCATCTCATGAATGTCAGGTTCGTGTCATAAGAAAGCCGTCATATTACTGGGCTAAACAGGTAAGGTTCCACGCTTTTAGGCACTCCAATTCTCCGAGCTGACGGTATATCTTGTAGACACGCATACTTAGCGATGTCGACCTCAAAGATCAGGGAGCAAACGTTCGTTGAAAACGTTGAATGCTTCGGCTCACCCGCCGGACGCACTGATGACGCCAAGCTTTAGTTCGCTGTACGTAAACTAGTTGCATTGTTAATCTCTGCCTTGCTAAGTCGCACCTGTTTGAAAGGCGGAAATTAAGGCGGAAACCTTTGGCACGTTGCACGACGGTCCGATTTCCAGAGGCGTCGTACTGAAGACATGGGGTTGAAATGCACAAATTGGTTGTCTTTAATTGAATGATCACCGTCTCCTGGATAATAAGATGGAGTCCGCTGCGTATCAAAAGGTCTAAAGATGAGTAATTAGATGGTACGTAGAATCTCATTTTCTGAGGACGACCCTAACGATTATGTTACAGGCTCTAAACATTGATGCAAGGTCTTCATTTTCTGTTAATTTGCGCATCATGGCGAGCTTACGCCTCATTGAAGGGTG